ATATTTTCACAGCCTTAAACGGGTGGGGCCCTACTATTAATGGTCCACAATAGACTGCTCTTTATTTGAGGCGTGGTTTACAATCACTTCAAGGAACGTAGAGATCAATTCGACTTGTGCAAAGAAAAATTTAATATTATATTTCTATTTTTAATCTCTTTTTCTGGATATAAGGTCAATCCAAGTACTTTAAGCGTCTCCATCTTAAAATCAGACAGTCTTAATTCAGATCCAACGGTTTTGATTATTTACTACTCCACTCTTTAAGTTGTTTACATATTTGGATTCTATTAAAAAAAATTTTTGGAAGTTTTGTGGTACTCAGTGAAATTCAGCAAATTTAAAATTATTATACGTAATAAAAATCCTTGAAATTGAAAAGATCCGAAACACCCGCCTCCAAGCAAAGAAAAAAAAAGAAAAGAATCATAGAGTAGAAAAATATAAAACAAAGTACAAACTAATATTACTTGAACTCAATTATTTTATTTAATTTAGTAGTTTAAGAGTACATTAATTTTTTGGCAATAAGGATCTGTTTGGTAAATTTTTTTTAGAGGGATTTGAATTGAATTGTCTAAATTCGGGTTTGATTCAAAGATTGAATTTAACATTTAATATTGTTCATACTCATGTTTAGTATACGCAGGGATATATGACTATTATAATAATATATTGTATATAAATGACTATTGTGCCCCTTAACTAATTTATATATATATATAAAAGGTATATGAGATATATAAAGGTATAAATGTCATTTACATGTTAAACCCTCAAACCCACAAATGAAACTCATCTCCCTTGGATTTCATGAAACTCAAGTATGTGAATTTTATGACCGAACTATGATCGAGCTAAGTTTAAAATTTTATCCATATTTCATGGTTGCCAAAAATAAATTTAAGACAATTTACTCCCCAACCCATATTCCCAAATTCCCCAAACCCACGTAACAAACAACCCCTAAAGTTCTCAATAAAGGATTGCATTCTCGGAGATTCATTAGTTCTAATATTAATTGGCAATTCATTAGTTCTATTATTTTATATATTGTGGATTGTCAATTCATTTCATTAAATTAATTGGTATCGTTGCATTGAAAAGTATGTAGAAACCAACTCCCAAGCAACTTCAACCTCCACCTTCTTGCAAAATCTCTTTCTCTCGGGATTCCTGTCCTATCACTCAACCCATTTTGAAGAAAAAATCGCTCTTTCTCTATTACATCTGAACAGCAAAAGTTTTCAAGAGTCCAAGTTTCCTGCTGCCTAACTTCCTATGAAATTTGATCTTGGTTAGGAGAGACTGCGTGAGAGAGAAACAGAGGCAGAGAGAAAGAGACTACTGGTTCACTTTCCTTTCTCTCTCTATCCCCTTTCCCCCGTCTCTAGATTTGCTCATATGTGTAATTCTATGCAAATTACTGAGAGCTGAGATCAAAACATTGACAATAATTTGGTGGGTATTCAGCCATATATTCTAAGATCAGAATTGAGAAGGAAGATGTTTGGTTGTGAGTGTGATTGCTGGGATAATGTTTCTGAAATCTACCCCTTTGAACCAGAACACTTTGCTCTGCCTTCACCTCTACCACAATGGCCTCAAGGTATGCCTTTGAATACCAATATTATTTTTGTTTCCCAGTTCTTGTGTGAAGATAACCTTCGGGTCTCGACTATATTCTGTGATCATCTTCTTCTATTGTTGTAACTTTGTTTTAGGTCTCTCTTTTATGAGTGTACATAAGTTTTTCTGAAATTTTTGCTCTTGAAAATTTATGGTCATGGGTGTTAGGAGTAAATTGCTTTCCTGTGTAAGTTCCCCTCTCTCTCTTTTTTTGGAGGGGAAGGGAAAGGGATGAGAGCTTGAACCCAATCATCTGGGTACGGAAGTGAACCTTACCACTGGGTCCTCCCTCATCTCGTGGATCTCTCTCTCTCTCTCTCAGCACACATTCTCTTCAGCCTTGTAGATAAAGTGGATAAACTCCCAGAGTAATCTAATTACTTTGATAGAGAAGCATCCAACTACCCATTTGGACGCCTCATGGTTTATGGATTCGATCCTAACCTAATTGAAAAAGGAACAGATATGTCTGAGATAACTTCATGATTGAACTGTACGACCTAATATTTGAACACAATGAATAATTTGAAATGAATCCGATCTGAGTAAAATAATGGGTTCTGTTTTAATTTCCAGATATGTGCTGTTTCACACGGTGATTAGATTTTGGACCAGTAAAAATTCCTGGTCCTTTTCTTGTCCATCTTCCTTTTTAAATGGCTCTAATGATAAAAATACTATTAAGTTATTCAGGACAATTTTGTAGATTTTGCTTGGCAGAATTGGTTGCCGCCTTGAATTTTTATTTGATCATGTTCCTACTGGTCTACTCTTAAAAAGTTTGCATTATTGTGGTCAACATCAGCAAATATGTGAATTAGAATTTATTGCCGTGGTCATTCAAAATAGTTTTACCAATATGAGAGCTCAATAATTCATGAATGCAGANTTTGATTATTTACTACTCCACTCTTTAAGTTGTTTACATATTTGGATTCTATTAAAAAAAATTTTTGGAAGTTTTGTGGTACTCAGTGAAATTCAGCAAATTTAAAATTATTATACGTAATAAAAATCCTTGAAATTGAAAAGATCCGAAACACCCGCCTCCAAGCAAAGAAAAAAAAAGAAAAGAATCATAGAGTAGAAAAATATAAAACAAAGTACAAACTAATATTACTTGAACTCAATTATTTTATTTAATTTAGTAGTTTAAGAGTACATTAATTTTTTGGCAATAAGGATCTGTTTGGTAAATTTTTTTTAGAGGGATTTGAATTGAATTGTCTAAATTCGGGTTTGATTCAAAGATTGAATTTAACATTTAATATTGTTCATACTCATGTTTAGTATACGCAGGGATATATGACTATTATAATAATATATTGTATATAAATGACTATTGTGCCCCTTAACTAATTTATATATATATATAAAAGGTATATGAGATATATAAAGGTATAAATGTCATTTACATGTTAAACCCTCAAACCCACAAATGAAACTCATCTCCCTTGGATTTCATGAAACTCAAGTATGTGAATTTTATGACCGAACTATGATCGAGCTAAGTTTAAAATTTTATCCATATTTCATGGTTGCCAAAAATAAATTTAAGACAATTTACTCCCCAACCCATATTCCCAAATTCCCCAAACCCAAGTAACAAACAACCCCTAAAGTTCTCAATAAAGGATTGCATTCTCGGAGATTCATTAGTTCTAATATTAATTGGCAATTCATTAGTTCTATTATTTTATATATTGTGGATTGTCAATTCATTTCATTAAATTAATTGGTATCGTTGCATTGAAAAGTATGTAGAAACCAACTCCCAAGCAACTTCAACCTCCACCTTCTTGCAAAATCTCTTTCTCTCGGGATTCCTGTCCTATCACTCAACCCATTTTGAAGAAAAAATCGCTCTTTCTCTATTACATCTGAACAGCAAAAGTTTTCAAGAGTCCAAGTTTCCTGCTGCCTAACTTCCTATGAAATTTGATCTTGGTTAGGAGAGACTGCGTGAGAGAGAAACAGAGGCAGAGAGAAAGAGACTACTGGTTCACTTTCCTTTCTCTCTCTATCCCCTTTCCCCCGTCTCTAGATTTGCTCATATGTGTAATTCTATGCAAATTACTGAGAGCTGAGATCAAAACATTGACAATAATTTGGTGGGTATTCAGCCATATATTCTAAGATCAGAATTGAGAAGGAAGATGTTTGGTTGTGAGTGTGATTGCTGGGATAATGTTTCTGAAATCTACCCCTTTGAACCAGAACACTTTGCTCTGCCTTCACCTCTACCACAATGGCCTCAAGGTATGCCTTTGAATACCAATATTATTTTTGTTTCCCAGTTCTTGTGTGAAGATAACCTTCGGGTCTCGACTATATTCTGTGATCATCTTCTTCTATTGTTGTAACTTTGTTTTAGGTCTCTCTTTTATGAGTGTACATAAGTTTTTCTGAAATTTTTGCTCTTGAAAATTTATGGTCATGGGTGTTAGGAGTAAATTGCTTTCCTGTGTAAGTTCCCCTCTCTCTCTTTTTTTGGAGGGGAAGGGAAAGGGATGAGAGCTTGAACCCAATCATCTGGGTACGGAAGTGAACCTTACCACTGGGTCCTCCCTCATCTCGTGGATCTCTCTCTCTCTCTCTCAGCACACATTCTCTTCAGCCTTGTAGATAAAGTGGATAAACTCCCAGAGTAATCTAATTACTTTGATAGAGAAGCATCCAACTACCCATTTGGACGCCTCATGGTTTATGGATTCGATCCTAACCTAATTGAAAAAGGAACAGATATGTCTGAGATAACTTCATGATTGAACTGTACGACCTAATATTTGAACACAATGAATAATTTGAAATGAATCCGATCTGAGTAAAATAATGGGTTCTGTTTTAATTTCCAGATATGTGCTGTTTCACACGGTGATTAGATTTTGGACCAGTAAAAATTCCTGGTCCTTTTCTTGTCCATCTTCCTTTTTAAATGGCTCTAATGATAAAAATACTATTAAGTTATTCAGGACAATTTTGTAGATTTTGCTTGGCAGAATTGGTTGCCGCCTTGAATTTTTATTTGATCATTTTCCTACTTGTCTACTCTTAAAAAGTTTGCATTATTGTGGTCAACATCAGCAACTATGTGAATTAGAATTTATTGCGGTGGTCATTCAAAATAGTTTTACCAATATGAGAGCTCAATAATTCATGAATGCAGACTATTTTGTTTATCGGTTGTGAACAAAAATCAATTTGTACCAAAACATTTTTTATGCTCATTTTGGTTGAAGTATATGGATTACTGCTACAAAACCCTGTTAGATGCTCAGTTCACGACATTCATGAACTTGGCCAAATTTTTTAGAGATTAACAATGTGTGATTGGCTTGGAAATTCAATTTGAGGGAAATTTGGCAATTATCGAGAAATCTAATGCAAAACCTGGGGGGTGGTTGACATCTTCANTCAAATTTTTTTAGAGATTAACAATGTGTGATTGGCTTGGAAATTCAAATTTGAGGGAAATTTGGCAATTATCGAGAAATCTAATGCAAAACCTGGGGGGTGGTTGACATCTTCATAGTGACTCACCTAATAGAGAGATGGGAATTGTTTCCCTTTTGTTATTTTTATTCCAGAATGGATCTTCTTTCTGTACTAAACATTGAGATATGGGTGATTATTTTTTGGGGCAAAGAGAGCTTATCACATCTTTGAGCATGCTATTAGTTCACTGGAAACTTGACTCATCCCGGAAGAGTGAGGAATTGATAAGTTGATCTGAAAGAAAGCGACAATGGAANCTTGTTATTTTTATTCCAGAATGGATCTTCTTTCTGTACTAAACATTGAGATATGGGTGATTATTTTTTGCGGCAAAGAGAGCTTATCACATCTTTGAGCATGCTATTAGTTCACTGGAAACTTGCCTCATCCCGGAAGAGTGAGGAATTGATAAGTTGATCTGAAAGAAAGCGACAATGGAATACATATTCCTTACAGCTGATATCAGTACAATAAGTAAGGATTGTTTGGTTCTTTTTAATCGACATCAAACATATGTTGTGTTAGGCAAAGCGCAGTGGTGATATTGGATGCAAGTAACCTACCTCAAAACAATTGAGGTTAGGCTTTCTTAAGTTGTCAATCTATTATTGAGTACCAAATGGTTGATGCACTTATATGTCGTATATTATGGGCTTACGCACAACTATTTGTGCATCAATAAGTTATCTGGAAGTAGGAGATTTCAAATTCTTTAAATATTGACTTTTGAATTTTTATTGTTCTTTGAGATAGATTTTTAATATACAAAATTATAGAATCAGAAGTCATGTCTATTGTTTACTTGTAAATTCCACTATTCTGGATTGGTCATTTATCTATTGTAATATGTCTTTCACTCAAGAGTAGCATGTCTATATTCTTTCAGTTTGATATTTCTGATTGATTTGATGCCATATTTTCAGGTCAAGGTTTTGCTACTGGAAGAATAAACCTTGGAGAAATAGAAGCTGTTCAAATCACCCAGTTTGACAGTATTTGGAGCTGCACTCCGTTGCATGGAAAAGGAAAAGGTGTTACATTCTATAAAGCAGTGGGAATCCCAGATGGTTTTTCCAGCCTCGGTCATTACTGTCAGCCAAATGACCGGCAACTCAGGGGTTATGTTCTTGTGGCCAGAGATGTGGCTTCTAGCAAGTCAGCAGAGAACAATATTCATAACTCGATCTCAAACCTTCCAGCTCTCACAAAGCCTCTTAACTACACCTTAATTTGGAGTTCAAAATCAAATCATAATGGAGTTGGTTACGTTTGGCTGCCAAATGCTCCAGTGGATTATAAATCTATGGGCTTTGTGGTTACCAATGAGCCAGATGAACCTGAGCTTGAAGAAGTTAGATGTGTCCGCTCTGATCTTACCGAGACTTGTGAAGCTTTTGATATGATATTTGACACGGATTCAATGTGTTCTTCGTTTCAAGTTTGGAATACAAGACCCAGCAAACGGGGGATGTTGGGCAAAGGTGTTTCTGTCGGGACATTCTTCTGCAGTACCTGCGTCAATTCTGGGGATGAGTTCAATATCACTTGCTTGAAAAATCTAGACTCAACTTTACAGGCAATGCCAAATCAGGATCAGATCCACGCTCTCATCAAGCACTATGGACCTACAGTTTTCTTCCATCCAGATGATATTTATATGCCCTCATCAGTGAGATGGTTTTTCGAAAATGGAGCGCTTCTGTACAAAAACAGCAATGATATGGGTGTAAACATTGATTCTAAAGGCTTGAATTTACCAGCCGGTGGGAAAAATGATGGGCAGTTTTGGCTTGATTTGCCAGATAATGATGATAAAAGAAATGTTATCAAGTGTGGTAATATTGAGAGTGCTGAGCTTTATGTTCATGTAAAACCAGCGATGGGGGGAACTTTCACTGATATTGTCATGTGGGTTTTTTGCCCCTTCAATGGACCTGCTACCATTAAAGCTGGTTTGGTGAATATTGCTATGAGCAAAATTGGTGAACACGTTAGCGACTGGGAGCATTTCACCCTTCGTTTGAGTAACTTCACTGGAGAGCTATGGAATATGTACTTCTCACAGCACAGTGGTGGCGAATGGGTGGATGCCTGTGACTTGGAGTTCATCGAAGGAAATAGGCCAATTGTCTATTCATCAAAATGTGGACACGCAAGTTTCCCACATCCTGGTAGCTACATTGAGGGCTCTTCATTACTAGGAATAGGCGTGAGGAACGATGCTGCTCGAAGTAATTATTTCGTGGATTCCAGCACGAAGTATGAAATGATTGCAGCGGAGTATCTTGGACATGGAGTTGTTAAGGAACCACATTGGTTGCAGTATATGAGAGAGTGGGGTCCGACCATCGTATACGATTCGCGATCTGAATTGGATAAAATAATCAGTTACCTTCCCTTTTTTCTTAGATTTTCAGTAGAGAGCCTATTTGAATTGCTTCCGACTGAGCTTTACGGTGAGGAAGGGCCAACCGGACCAAAGGAAAAGGACAATTGGGTGGGGGATGAAAGAGATTAGAAAGTGACATTCAGTATTTATCAAACTTTGTCCTTTCCTTCTTCCTCAGTCGACTCAAAAAAAATATTGCAATTGAGCTCCGTATTAAGCATAGTGTGTGCAGAGTCTCATAAAGAATTGTCAGTTCAGGCCTTGTGTTGTATGTTGAAAAGCATGCTGCTACATTGCAAAATTGCTGCTGCATGGAAGAACTGTGTCGTCTTTGTAATGTAAAGCTTGTTCTATCAGCTATAATGGATGCATTGAAGAAGATTTTCACACATTGACCGCTCAATGCTTGTATATGACTGTAGAAGTGGCAAACGGGTAGGTAACGGATGGTGGCACTACTGGTCCAATCCCTTTTTAAACTGCTTTTTAAATGGGTCACGATGGGTTAAATAGGGTTAATCTCATTTTATACCCCGAAAGATTGTTCGAATCTCAATTTGTACCCTCAAAGATCAAAAATNCTCATTTTATACCCCGAAAGATTGTTCGAATCTCAATTTGTACCCTCAAAGATTAAAAATCTCAATTTATACCCTCAAAGATAGAAATTTGTATCAATGTGCACCCTCAAAGATCAAAAATTTTAATTTGCACCCTTAAAGATAGAAATTTATATTAATGTGCACTCCAAAGATAAAAAATCTCAATTTGTACTCTCAAAGATAGAAATTTGTATCAATGTNTTTAATTTGCACCCTTAAAGATAGAAATTTATATCAATGTGCACCCCAAAGATAAAAAATCTCAATTTGCACCCTCAAAGATAGAAATTTATATCAATGTGCACCCCAAAGATAAAAAATCTCAATTTGCACTCTCAAAGATAGAAATTTGTATCAATGTGCACCTAAAACTAAATTGATAAATTATACCTAAATCTTATCATACTTGTTACTTAATCATTTAGACTTCTTTACATTTAGAATATTACTCTTACATCTTATGACATTTGTGCACGTATAACACGTAACNAGTAGTTATATGTTACACATGCACAAACGTCATAAGAAGTAAAGAGAATATTCTAAATGTGAAGGAGTTCAAATGATTAAGTGACAAACATGAGGGGATCTAGGTATAATTTATTAATTTAATTTTAGGTGCACATTGATACAAATTTCTATTTTAAGGGTGCAAATTGAGATTTTTTATCTTTGAGGTGCACATTGATATAAATTTCTATATTTGAGGGCGCAAATTGAGATTTTTTATCTTTAGGGGTGCACATTGATACAAATTTTTATCTTTGAGGGTGCAAATTAAAATNATTAAGATAAAATCATATTTTTTAACGATTATATTAACAGATATCAACGAAAAGTAGTTATATGTTACACATGCACAAACGTCATAAGAAGTAAGGAGATATTCTAAATGTGAAGGAGTTCAAATGATTAAGTGACAAACATGAGGGGATCTAGGTATAATTTATTAATTTAATTTTAGGTGCACATTGATACAAATTTCTATTTTTAAGGGTGTAAATTGAGATTTTTTATCTTTGGGGTGCACATTGATATAAATTTCTATCTTTGAGGATGCAAATTGAGATTTTTGATCTTTAGGGGTGCACATTGATACAAATTTTTATCTTTGAGGGTGCAAATTAAAATTTTTGATCTTTAGGGGTGTAAATTGAGATTTAAACAATTTTTTAAGGTGCAAAATGAGATTAACCCTAAATCATAATAGGTTGGGTTAAACCTATTTACTCGCAAAATAATAGAAATTATTGATTTAATCACACTAATACATTAAAAAAAAGCATACACTAATACTAGAAAACACACACACAACAAACACTAATACACCGAAAAATAGATGAACATTAATGTACCAAAAAATAAACATGCACTAATGCACCAAAAAGAACATACACATTAATACATCAAAATATATACATATTATGTCAACACACACACAAACACACTTTTATGCCAAAAAATGCACATTCATACACTAACAAACACTAATGCGCCAAAAAGAACACAAAGACATACACACGCTAATGCACTAAAACGCACACGTGTATATATTATACACTAATACACCCAAAAAATGCTCACTAATACACAGGGAAAAACACACATACCCCCCCCTTTAAATACCAAAATATATACATTAATACATGAAAAACGCACTAATACACTAAAAATGCACATAAGCTAATAAACCAAACACGAACACAAACACAAACACACACTAACATACAAAAAGAAAAAAAGAAATCACACACTAATCTATACAACTAATAAAAGTACCTTAAATGAAAAACTTGTGATTCATTATTTTACTCTTATAAAGAATATTAAATACCACATTATATTTGCTTAGTTAAATATCTAAATTATAATCACAATCTTATGTATTTAAATCTTTAAATTACCCTCTAACATCTCTTTTAATTATATATTATCTTTGTATAAATATCAATAACTATGAAATTTTTTCATTCACTACGCAACCTTTAAAAAAATATATGCATCATTATAGATTTCAATAAAATGTTCAAAAAGTCTATCAATAGACTATTACTTTTTTCAAATAAAAAAAATAACATTATGTATATATATGTATTTTTTTTTCTATTTATACTACTAATAAAAGTATCTAAGAATGAAAAAATTTTAATTCACTATTTTACTTTTATAAAGAATTTTAAATACCACATTATCTTTTCATAGTTAAATATCTAAATTAAAATCACAACCTTATGTGTTTAAATGTCTAAATTACGTATAATATCACTTTTAGTTCTTTATTCACAATGTATAGATATCAATATCTATGAAATTTTTTTATTGACTACATTACCCTTAAAAAATATATGCATCACTATAGTTTTCAATAAAATGTTCAAAAAATCTTTAAAACTTTCATCAATCTAACATTATTCATTTCAAATATGAAAATAACATTATACTTATATATGTATATTTTTTTATCTAAAATTTTAATCATTTCATTTTTAAGATAAAAAATAATCTTTTATGTAGTTTTTTAAAAAATAATTTATGTTAAATCAACATAATTCTTCAATCACTGTAAATTTTTCATATTTTATTAAGAGTTTATATATAATGTAGTTTTTAAAAAAATAATTTATGTTAAATCAATATAATACTTCAATCACAGTAAAATTTTCATGTTTTATTAAGAGTTTATATAAAAAAATTATATTGTATTTTTAAGTAAAACTTGAATTTTAGAATTTTAATATTCTTTTAAAATATATATTATAGAGTAGTGTATTATATTTTAGGGTTAATAGTACTCTTAGTCTATGAAATATACATGATTTATCAGTTTGAATTTCATTGTATCAATTTTGTTAATTTTGTCTATAAAGTTAATGGTTTAATTGATCTTTACCCAGACAATTTGTTAAGTTTTTGACAAAAGTGAAAGTGTTGGTCACATGATACTAAATGATAGAATGACATGTGTTCATTTCCATAAAAAAAAATTAATAGATTGTCTGGTTATGAATCATTTAAAGAAGAATTGAATATTTTATAGACCAAATTGATAAAATTTATATATTAAAGATGAAATTGACAAAAAAAAAAGCATATTTTAGAGACCCAAAGTGTTATTAACCCTATATTTTATCCCTATTGACCTAAGAATATTGACAATTATTTTTATTTTATTCAAGTTGAAACCTAATCAAATGAATTTCAAATGAATTATTTTTATCTTTTTTCTTATAATTAGAACAACAAATCGATGAGAACAAAAAATATTTTTTGAATTTTATAGTATAATACAGGCGATAAAAATATAATTTTTGATAAACTTGATATGATATTTAATGTAAGTACATATATACCTAATACTTTTTATTAATATTGTGTATATGAAAATTATTCACGTGCAAAGTACGTGTTGCATTGCTAGNGTATGAAAATTATTCACGTGCAAAGTACGTGTTGCATTGCTAGTATACTAAAAAACACATACATTAATACACCAACACACACTCATATACCAAAAAGATACATGCACTAGTACANCTAATGCACTAAAACGCACACGTGTATATATTATACACTAATACACCCAAAAAATGCTCACTAATACACAGGGAAAAACACACATACCCCCCCCCCTTTAAATACCAAAATATATACATTAATACACGAAAAACGCACTAATACACTAAAAATGCACATAAGCTAATAAACCAAACACGAACACGAACACAAACACACACTAACATACAAAAAGAAAAAAAGAAATCACGCACTAATCTATTCAACTAATAAAAGTACCTTAAATGAAAAACTTGTGATTCATTATTTTACTCTTATAAAGAATATTAAATACCACATTATATTTGCTTAGTTAAATATCTAAATTATAATCACAATCTTATGTATTTAAATCTTTAAATTACCCTCTAACATCTCTTTTAATTATATATTATCTTTGTATAAATATCAATAACTATGAAATTTTTTCATTCACTACGCAACCTTTAAAAAAATATATGCATCATTATAGATTTCAATAAAATGTTCAAAAAGTCTATCAATAGACTATTACTTTTTTCAAATAAAAAAAATAACATTATGTATATATATGTATTTTGTTTTCTATTTATACTACTAATAAAAGTATCTAAGAATGAAAAAATTTTAATTCACTATTTTACTTTTATAAAGAATTTTAAATACCACATTATCTTTTCATAGTTAAATATCTAAATTAAAATCACAACCTTATGTGTTTAAATGTCTAAATTACGTATAATATCACTTTTAGTTCTTTATTCACAATGTATAGATATCAGTATCTATGAAATTTTTTTATTGACTACATTACCCTTAAAAAATATATGCATCACTATAGTTTTCAATAAAATGTTCAAAAAATCTTTAAAACTTTCATCAATCTAACATTATTCATTTCAAATATGAAAATAACATTATACTTATATATGTATATTTTTTTATCTAAAATTTTAATCATTTCATTTTTAAGATAAAAAATAATCTTTTATGTAGTTTTTTAAAAAATAATTTATGTTAAATCAACATAATTCTTCAATCACTGTAAATTTTTCATATTTTATTAAGAGTTTATATATAATGTAGTTTTTTAAAAAATAATTTATGTTAAATCAATATAATACTTCAATCACAGTAAAATTTTCATGTTTTATTAAGAGTTTATATAAAAAAATTATATTGTATTTTTAAGTAAAACTTGAATTTTAGAATTTTAATATTCTTTTAAAATATATATTATAGAGTAGTGTATTATATTTTAGGGTTAATAGTACTCTTAGTCTATGAAATATACATGATTTATCAGTTTGAATTTCATTGTATCAATTTTGTTAATTTTGTCTATAAAGTTAATGGTTTAATTGATCTTTACCCAGACAATTTGTTAAGTTTTTGACAAAAGTGAAAGTGTTGGTCAC